CCCAAGGGTATTCAATCACGTGAAAAATACTTGGAATCGATTGAGTAGTCATCATTTTCGAAGAAGAACTAGACCCTAGGCTGGACCCAAACACATGTAGGTTTCCCCATTGACCCAACACGTGTTCTCCCACCCTAACACACAAAAATCCCTCGGCCGATACCCAGCAGAGTCCTAGCTTGACTCAGCTGATTGGTTCTCCTTCCACCTCGACCAACCTCGCAACCTAGTCACTTGGCCTGAAGAAGCTTTTGCGTCAAAAGCGAAACGTTGCTTAGCAACAAATCTACCGATTGTCATCAAACTTTTTCAAAAATGAGAACCCCAGGGATACTTGCGAATACAGGAAAAGCAAGCCGAACCAGCGCGTTGGGTGACCACCCACGTTCGGAAAACGCTTTTAACGGTCATATCATCGAGTATACAATCTACCATCGGAAGAGTTGACAGCCTGTACAACCTCATCACAGGTGGATCGTACAGCAATAGTAGGTAGGTATTCACTTGGGAATCCCGAACAAACGATCTGTTTGACCTCAAAGACTTCTTTCTCACTGGCCCCAGTGGATCAGGATGTGAAGAGAGACCTGTACAACCTCATCACAGGTGGATCGTACAGCAATAGCCCCTAGGTATTCACTTGGGAATCCCGAACAAACGATCTGTTTGACCTCAAAGACTTCTTTCTCACTGGCCCCAGTGGATCAGGATGTAAGTGAAGAGAGAAACCAGCCGAGGTGCTCTGACATACGCCAACCGTGAAAGGTGACTTTTACTTTGAGTTTCTCAAACATTACGCACAAGCCCATCAGCACCAGAAGATTCGTCCTACTTGTGAACAGTAGACATGAGGTCCACACAACGAGGTGGGATGGCCTTCCGAAGATGTTTGTCCAAAATGGAGACTGTCTTTCTTTGGTTCGTGGTGACCCGCACCACGATCACACATGTTTCATGAAAGCGTCATGGACGCAAGGCGCTTGACCAGTGCATCACCCAGGTCTCGCCTAAATTCAACTCTAAACTGATTCGTTACACAACAATTCGTTGTGGGAAACGTCGAATTAGCATCGTTTGATCATCTTCAACAATGACGGATTTACTGTTTTTGAAGGTGACAATGCGACGTCCGTCATTGTACTGTATGAATTTACGTTGTCTGTAGGGAAACTCTCCATACGAGCTCACAGGGTTTCACCTCGGCTATGAGAGAAAAAACTTAGTCGAAGCGAAGGAGAACCTCGTAAATCAAGAGAGTAGGACCATCACGAAGACCAAGTTAGAAATATCCAGGCTGAATGTCACTAACGTGGGCTTGTTCTTACGCCCTAGTGGTAAGACCACAAGGTTATCGATACAACAGGCGAGATGGCCCAAGTGGTTAGAGCGCGAATTTACTGGCCGAAAGGTCCATGGTTCGAACCCGGCCTCTGCCCTGGCTAGGCTTGGGTAACCTGACAGTATCCCAGCCCTCGTGCAACCTTCGGGTGGCATGGCAGTTAGGTGATACAAAATCGTTGAGGCCAGAAGAGACAGCGCAACCGACACAGATCGGAAAGACCGCAGTAACACATCTGACACGAAAGGTCACGATACCGGTTATTCTGGTACACAAACGCCCAACCAACGACCTCATGTCCGAAAACAGGCCAGTAATGACGAATAGCGAAACTATATTGGCCGATCTTGGTATTCACTCGTAGGTCACAGTCTGGTAAAGTAGTCATTGTTGTGCATCCACTCACTGAGCACGAATGTTCGAGTAGCCAAGGACTCATGTTTTCAGTAGTAGAATTCGCCCAGTACCCTACCTGCAAATCAGCGAATTTTGGCGCCCAACATTGAACGTTTTGTTTTCTCAAAATTTCATTTGGTTCGAGCAGATGAGAAGCAAAAATGGCTTTCAACACGTTTTTACTCTGAGACGTACTGAAATTGCGTCATTTCTTCGACTTTCGACTGCAATCTATAAGTAGCTAACACGAAGAATAAAACCCACTCGGCTGGTTGAGACTCCCGTAGGAGAAGTCGAGACTCGAGCAACCAGTCAACACGTGACCAGGTTTGTGTGATTGAAGGGTCGAGATGGCTCAACTGGTTAGAACTGACCGGAAGGTCCGTGGATCGAACCTCACTTCTGCCTCTCGATTTCCCCTGTCTAGGCTTGGGCAACCTGGCAGTATCCCAGCCCTCGCGCAACCTTCTGGTGGCATGGCAGTCAAGCACCAAAAGGGTACTAGAGCTGAGCGATTCGATTCGTGATTGAGGGATCCGTGGCGCTATGTTCTGTCTAGGTGAGAGCTAATCACACTACTGTTTAGCCGGTCATTCTCGGAAGGTAGAGAGTTCGAAGCTTTCTGAGTTTCGTGAGAGAAACACCTCCGATAATTCCAAGTAAAGATGGAACAGTACTTCTTGGGTTTTCCGTACAGAGTGGCCTCATTCATGGACGCAGAGTGCGAACTCACGCCTTCAGGTAATCCAGTAGTGTGGAAATGAAGTGTCTGCAGAGTAGATTCTTGTTGTTACCAAATCCAAAAAGCCCCAGGTGCGGCTTTTAAATCGACCCATTTGAAATGTATGCTCTGCAGTTTACAGTCCTCGCGGATCCTCACCACATGGAAGCCGATGACGAGATATTCAGCCTATCTCGTGTTGTAAAAATAATTGGTTTCGAGGCAGGACACCGCACAAAGTCTCGAGTGCACCAACTGTTATACATCTCGTACGCATACTGTTAGACGCAGGATTTGTGTAGCTGGATACAGGCATCATCATCATCCTCATCATCGACAGCATGACATCAGAGTTCAACACCGATGCTTCACTACCGTACAACCATGATTTATTTGAAGGCCTTATTGTAAAGAAAAGAGTAAAGGTGGACGGGAGAGGGACTTAGTGCTAGCTTATCACAATCATTCCGAGGTGCATACACCTCCAGACATTCACTCAGGCAATCCGGATAGAAACTGACAACAAGAACACCACTGACACCGGTTGGCAGCCATATCTTGTAGTGTCTCCAACCGGCCACAGTGAGGATCACGCGGTCCCCATCCTGGAAGGCGAGTTGTGTAGGTCATGGTTGTACGAGGGCTGGGATACTGCCAGGGCGCCCACACCTAGACAGGCGAGTAGCACCGACAGCTGGTATGATCTCTTTTCTTGGAGAGGTTAGCGACGTCGTAGTGGTAAAAAAACGGTAAACCAGCCGCGATCTTTCAGCTGAAGAGTAATTCATTCACCTGAGGATTGTCAGTTTCGAAGGATTACTCCTAGCTGTATCGGTGAAAGGAAAAAGGCCTTCGCTGCGGAGTCATCTATTAGAAAATGCCAACTGAACAGTTACAGGCTATCGGACAGGGAAGCAAAACTCTCATATGCATCTTGTTTACAAAAACTGAATATCCATCTTCTCCTTGAAGGCGTCTTTCTGAACTTCCCGGATATTCATTAACTGTTGCTCAAATGCAAGCAAATGCGTCTCCACAAGTTCTGTAATAGATCTCACTTTGCAAGAGATGCAAAGCGGACTTACTGGAAAACATACTACTCGCATGCCCCCATCAGCAGTATCACCGTTACACTGGTATTCTCCCGGTAAGTGATTATCGGCTAGATGAGTGGAAATCAATTGATTTAGTGCGACTTTATTGGTATCATTAAACCACCAAGGAGCATCATCTGTTTTCTTTGGCTTTACCGAAAAAACTGAAACTTTATGCGTTGTACGTTTCTAAGACATTGATATACTCATGAAAAATAGGCTGGCGTCAAAAGTGCTTCGGACTGAATACATACCTGGTAGGATAGGTTGAACAGTTTTTGTAGATATTCTGTCGGAGAAAGAGTTAGATCGAGTTGGTCGGCTGAATGTTGATCATATTTGCCGATTTTCACACGATGACTGATCCGCCGCTCTCCAATCGTCTGCAGATCGAGAGATGGGGGAAGTAAGGGCGAATCACAAGTGACCAGAGCGAGGACAAGCAAACGGATGCATGAAAAAGAGCGATTCATTTGAACAAGTCGAGGCACAATTCTGTTGGGGAAGATGGACACTTACCGGCTCTACCTCGCCCGTGAGTAACTTGAGGAACGTGGATTTTCCAACACCGTTTGGACCGACAATTGAGATACGCGAAGACATGTCCACACCGAAATTGAGGTCATGGAACAACGGTTTCTGACCAGGGTAGCTAAAGGTCACGTTGTGCAGTCCCAAAAGGGGCGGACTCAAAGGTGGAGGGTTGGGGAAGTGGAACTGAAGTGTTCAAAAAGGACGAGAGCGTCAGTGGCCAGCATTCGAAAAAGAAACAGGAAGAACCACGAACAGCTGCTATTTTCTTCAAAAGATCAGAAACAACGTTGCGTGTGTTTGCCTCCACCGTTTTCAACCAACCGAAGCACCGTCCCTCTATGTTTGGATGTGAGACTACGTAGTGAAAAGAATGATAGTTGACATAAGACCAGCTAAACAAGGAATGAAGACGAGACGCAGAACACAATGTCACACTAGGACCAGTATGGACAGGACAGGGCTCGAGATGGCCCAAGTGGTTAGAGCGCGAATTTACTGACCGGAAGGTCCGTGGTTCGAACCCGACCTCCACTCCCCGAATTCCCCTGTCTAAGCTTGGATAAACCTGGCAGTATCCCAGACCTCGTGCTTCCTTCCGGTAGCATGGCAGTTAGACACCGAACAACACTGAATAATGACTCGAAAATCTCTTGGTATTTTTACACAAAGTTGTCTGTTTGGGAGACTGTTTGAGGCGGTGAGTTGGATGACTCATTGACAGCTTTTAACCTGAGTTGGGTAGGTCAGACTTGTTAATCCAAGACATTAGAAGTAACTTTGAAAAAATCGAAAAAAATCGTTCATCTGTAGCACCCTTTCGGTGCCTAGCTGCCATGCCACCCGAAGGGAGCACGAGGGCTGGGGTACTGTCAGGTTGCCCAAGCCTAGACAGGGGAAGTCGAGAGGCAGCGGTTGAGTTCGAAGCACGGTCCTTCCGGTCAGTAAATTCGCGCTCTTACCACTTGGGTCATCTCGCCTCAGTAGGAACTTTGGACATGACACATCGTCCGCAAAGCAGTTCGACGTATGCAACTCATCCTCAGAAAAGGATTCATACGACTAAAAAAGGGGCGACTCTTCGGGTTCGCACGGATGATATGTGGGTAAGAAAAGCTTGGGGCGAACGACTCTGCGACGAATTCAAACGGCTACGTTGATCTTCCTGGAAAGAGACACTCCGAAGAGAGACCACCCCTACGATAGCGTTTCCCTCCGAGGAATACATACACCCAAGAAACTGGGAACCTATTTCTCAATGGTCACCCGTCTCGAGATGTGTACAAGAGAGTGAATTTTGGAGACCATGACAGAATACAGTGGCAAGCTCACCTTTACAACGTATTCCTTCGGTTTGGCCAACAGCTGAGGTGTGGCTTTCGTCTCGGTATCGGCGCCACCACCCACAAGTTGTCGGCCTTTCACTTGTTTGCGGGTGAGTGCTTCACGCTGGTTCTTGGCCACTGCTTGTTTGCTACTCATCCCTGACTGTTTCAGTTCGCGTAACCGCTTCTCCTGTTTCTCGTACTCGCGCAGTTGCTCTTTACGACGTTGTGTCAACATGACTTTGAAGCTATCTGAAAGGAAATAGGAAGCGAGAAAATGTTTTTAAAAAAATTGCGCAAACAAATATTTTGGAGTAAAAAGCCTTTGTTGTGCGCGAAATCATGCTGATCTAACCCAGTTTTGAGAAAAAAAATTTAGGCCATCCGCGAAGTGCGCATTTCATATTCCGAATGATGGTATTCTGAGTCAATAGACAAATGGAAAAACGATGAATGTCAGCTTGACCATGGAGTCGAAACATCTCCAACCATGAGCGACGAATGATTTGACAATTATCGAGAAATACACTTATTTGCAAATCAAGTTGGTTTTCACGAGAGACTCAACTGAATCTCCCGTTCATGATATTCTACGACTGAAGGTGCTGCACACAGGCCGCCCGATGATTCAGTTGGCACGATATTCGAGATATCGCAGTATACTTTCATAAAGGAAACTGCTTACAAGGTTACTGAAAACTCTTCGACAGCCCACGACCGGTTTCGCCCTTTCACTTTGGGCTCATCAGGTAGACGCAGTCCCCGAGTTTCCGTCAACCTTATGTTCCACTTGAACCCAAATCGGACTGTCAATTACTTGTGGAAAATGGCCACCACGTGGGTGTAGTCCGGAGAATCAGTTACGCGGAAGAATGCCACGACGCGGTGTACTGCAGTCAACGCTCGAAACAGGCTCAAGGGGGATAGCATCCAGCGGACATGCAATAACGAGAAATCAGTCAAATAAGGAACGTTTGATTCATACTTGAATTAAATTACCGAATAATCGAGCACACACTGTCTGAGAGAGAGTAAAAGGATTACTCCGGCATTAGCAGACATGCAGATGACTAATGTTAGCAACTGAACTCGAGATAGGTCAGGTTGGTTGAGGCGCGAACATACTGATCGGATGGTCCGAGGTTCGAACCCAACCCCCGGACATCTTGACTTCTCCTGTCTGGGCTTGGGCGACCCGGCAGTAGCTCAGCCGTCGTGTTTTCATCGGCTGTTATGTTAGCTAGGGGTGTTACAGCTGAACAAAAGCAACTGATGCCCCATTCCACAAACCTCGACTGAGTCCTGGCTACATCTTCCGAGGATCGCTCTCCCCCAGACAAAGACGGCTGCCTTGATGTATTTGACGGCTTAGAACGCTCCAGTGATCTCGCGGGTTACACTGACCGGGACTGCGTGTCACAAGATGTGACAAGATATCAATATCAAAACTAAAAAGGATCAGCCCAGCATGCCAGGCATTGCACAGCTAAACAACAATTGGCTTTTTAGATTTCTCAGTCACAAATTTCCTTTCATCAGCTCTGATATGTCCATCAGTGCAAAACTACTCTCTCCTGATCGTTAAAACAGCAGTGACAGAAGTGATTCGCCGCGAGCGAAGCACAAAGACTGGATTATTACCAGGTTGCCAAGCTAATTAGGCCGTGAGATGAAGAAAATAGTCCAGCTGTAGCACCTTTCGGTGCCCAACTGCCATGTCATCAGAAGGAAGAACGAGTGCTGGGATGCTACAAGGTTGCCGAAGCTTAGAAGTCTAGATGCAGAGGTCGGGTTCCAACCACGGACCTTCCAGTCTAACCGTGAGATGAGCCGTGTGATCATCTACGAAAAATTCCACGTTGAGAACCCCATGAAACATGATGCTGACTTACTGTAGTTTCCCCGATAGTAGAATAGTTGACGTTGATCCAAATGAATCATGTCGGTGCACACATTGTCCAAGAATGACTGATCATGCGAAACGATCAGTAAGGTTTTCTTCCAACCTTGCAGGTAACTAAGTATGGGGGGAAGGTGGAAAGAAAGGAATGTGGCGTCCAGCAACAGCAATTATGAACATTAAAATGCTCAATAATCGTTCTAAAAAGTTTCCTTAGAAAGCGGGCAACTGCCAGCGAGAGTCAAAGGAGTTGTTCTCTGTCGACCGTGAGTTGATATCCTAAAGGACGAAAAAATCATTCAGCTGCATCACACTTTCGGTGCCCAGCTGCCATGCTACGCAAAGGAATCACAAGGGCCGAGATACTGTCAGGTTGCCCAAGCCCAAAAACAAGGGAAGTCGAGAATCAGAGGTCGGGTTCGAACCACGGACCATCCGGTCGGTGAATTTGCACTCTGAACCATCTCACCCCACTGGAAGTGTGAAACGCGAGGTTAACAAGAAGCCGTACTTACTTGTCCAGCCAAATGACAGCATTCAAGTCCAGGTGGTTGGTAGGTTCATCCAAGAGTAAGAAAGTTGGCTCCAAGAATAGTGCACGCGCCAGACTGACTCGCATTCGCCACCCACCAGACAAATCCTTGGTTGCCCGCTCCATCATACGGGGTGTGAAGCCAAGACCAGCCAAGATACGCCTTGCTCGACCCTCAGCAGCGTCTGCTTTCATTGCGGTCAATTCCTCGTACACCTGGGGAGAGAATGTTTGTGGTTGGAATTATCAAGGATTCCGTTTGAAAGAAATGTGTTCAGATTGCTCAGGTAAGGCGATATGTATGACCTTGGAACGGACAGACACGTGGGTACTATGACGTCTCAAACATCATCGCACGGCAAGAAAATGAGGGAGGCAAACTACACAAACGAAATTCGGATCGGGCCTTAAAATATACAGGCCGCATATCCCGTACATGGCCCTGTGGTTTCGTAGGGTGATAGACGAGAAGACCTAATATTTAATATTCAAACTACTCATGAGTAGGCAGCTATATTTTTATTTCTCCAGCAACTGCGGGCAGCCCAAAGAACCCATGTGCCTCCTTGAAGCGGTCAATCAAGATATTGTTTTTTCTCCAAGCACCATCAACCAGTCAAGTAAGTCCTACTACTCTCTTTCCACGAGGAAGTTGAAACCCGGTCAACTAACGAGCAAACGAAGCTCGTTCAAGATCAACGCTCCGCCAGCTACAGGTGAAAGCTCACGTCTGAATAGGCTTTCTTATCTATATTGAGTTGACGTACGGAGGCCAGCCGTCCTTAACTGAACATCATACCATTTGGACGGATGTGTCACGTGCAGGACACAGACCACACGAAGGCGTGCCCTGATTGGCCGGAATGCCAGCCAATACCGATCGAACATCTTTGACTCGACGCTTCTCACCCGCTCACGGTGATTCTACCACGACCTTGTGGAACACTCTGTGAATACCCTATAGGTACAGGTGAAATGGTTATCCTTTTGTCTCCATAAGGGGCTGTCTAGAGCTACCGTGCCTTTTGATATACCACGGTGGGCGGAGCAGGAAGCGAAGGGACCGATACAGAGTTGCACTACTGTCCAGTTCTTTCTTGTTGCAGAACTGCACGGACATGCCAAACTTCCACTCTCACCCACATGGTATATGCACAAGTTAAAAGGCTGGTAGGTTATGAAACGGCTGCGCACCCGACGGTACCAGCTCTAACTATAGGTTCTATCTATGGAGGGAATCAGAGGAATGCCAGTGCAAATGCGTGCGAACGGACCATCATCATCACCGAAAGCATGACGTCAGTGTTCAACACCGATGCTTCACGGCCGTACAACCATGATTTATTGGAAAGCCTTATC